TATATGTTGTATATGTTGTATATGTTGTATATGTTGTATATGTTGTATATGTTGTATATGTTGTATATGTTGTATATGTTGTATATATGTGTATATGTGTATAAGTATATATGTGTATATGAGTGCCAAAAAGGGAGCATTTTGTGCTCCTCTAGGCTGTGAACAGGAAGAGGAGCAGCCAAGGGGGCATGTGCGCGCTGGAAAATGAACTTCCAGTTTCCAGCAAAGTCTTCTGGTTACTGCCGCGCACGTGCCAATCAGCTGACCGACGCACATGCTCACGCCGGAAAATGAAAGACCAGCTCTTCCGGTTTCCAGCACTGCCACACGCACAAAGGCCAGCTTTGCGTGTGCATGCATGCCAGAAACCCAGAAGAGGAATGGGCGATGCCGCACGTGCCAGGCAACATGGTTCTGTGTGCCACTTTGGGCATGCGTGCCATAGGTTTGCCATCATGGGCATAAGGGAATCCAGGACTTGTTTTAATATATAACAATTCTCATTTAGTTACAATCAATAAATTAAAGTATTAGAGGTTTCTCCTATTGTTTGTATTATAGAAAGGGGTAAAAATACTTTATGTTCGTCCATCTGTTGTTGAAATGTTTCCAAATCTTCAACTAAATGCTGAGATTCCATCTTTCGAATGCGTTCTTCTGTAAAAGTCAACCAGTTCGACAGCTGCTGCAATTGATTCTTCTGTAGCTCCATCAGTGCATCATGGAGGCTGCCCAAGTCAAAAAAAGAGGAGTAATTCATCCAAAGAGCCCTGAGTTCACAAGTTCTGCCTAAGTGTAATCATAACATAAACAGGCAACTTGGTAATCCTAGCTTTCTGTGGAATAAATTACTAAGCATGCTGATCAAAAGCCTTTTGTCTAACTGTGTTATATCACAAATATAATCAATGAGACCAAGATCTCAGTAAATCTGAATTCTTGCAAAGTAGGATGGTACAAATATATAATTTTAAAAAATAGGATTAACATATTATATATCTATGGGTGAAAGCAAATTCTATCCGGAGAACACAACCTGTCCCAAACTTATTCTACAAGGTTGTTGAGGGATCCCTGCTGCAGGGAGGGAAAAAGAAACTCTTATTTTTCAAATATAATGTTCGCTTGCCCAATTTTAAAAGATATTTTATGGTAAATAAATGAAATTATCAACTAATCAATCAATTCTATAAATAACTAATTAAAATTAGGATTTCATTAAATTGTGTTGAATTGTACTCTATCCTCTGGTATTAGGAACTATCTTAATAAAAAAAGTTCCTTTCAAAAAAAATCTCAGGATAGTTTTAAATTTTCAATCACAAATGGAAATGAATTGTCTTCCAGACAAAATGATCTAATAACAATATATAAAAACTTTGCATTTTGTACTGCTTTTTGTTACCTCAAATCTTTATCTGACATGCAACCTGAGACATATTTGCTGATTTGTGGGAAAAGTAAAATCTGGACCAGAAACTCAATCTTTTTTGGGAGAGTGGGGGTGGAGTTGTATACTACAGATCTATGCTATCAACATACAATTATTCCTAAATAATGTTTTAGCCAACTTGCCTTGGACATCAAATTTCAGCTTAACCGATTCATGTTACAGGTTTACTGCAAGATTTAGTCAACAGGACTATTGGCAGGGATGACTGACTGATACGATAGACCTTTGTTTATTTTCAAGAGCATCTGGTTCTACTTTTAATGTTTGTAAGATATTCAATTTAGAAACCAAAATAAAGTTTTTAAGACCACACCAATATATGTATGTACGTACGTATGTATGTATGTATGTATGTATGTATGTACGTATGTATGTATGTACGTATGTATGTATGTATGCATGTATACATGTGGAGATTGAGTTGAGAGAGAGGGAGAGAGGGTGGGTGGGAGGGAGGGAGGGAGGAAGGGAGGGAGAATTTGAAACAACCCATTTTTAAACATATCCATTCCCACTCATTATTCATTTTCCTCTTACAAAGATGATTTAGATGACTACAAAATTATCAACATTAAAAAATAATGTTTAGCCTTAAACACTGAGAAAAGAGCTTAATATATTACATCACAACTGGAAACTAAAACATGTGTATAAACCACGTGTAAACCATGCCACTTACTAGGCTTGGCGATCCATACTGCTCACTCTGAGACTCTCCCATCTAGAATTTAGCAACTTCATTTGTTCCTGGATTTCATTTTCTTCCTCTTCTGAAATATTGCCCTGGGCTATCAGTTGAGTACCAGCCTGAAGCACACTACCCACACTGCTCTGATGTGCTGTCAGCTCCATCATAAATGCCTATAAAAAGTTCAGACTAAGGTGACCTAAAACAAATATTGTCTCAACTATTGCATTAACTGCCAGATATTTGCAAGCATAAATATAATTTGTAACATTATACAATAAGTAGCAATTCTCAAAAGAGCCATAGCCCCCAGTAACTTAGCATCCAGGCAGAGAATGATCTCATTCAGATTGCTATTATGGCAGGGACAGAAGTAGCTTTAGCCATTTGGCTCCATGATGGTTCTATTTTCAATTAGCTCCCTTTCATTTCGGAAGTGAGGACAATTCTGATTCAGACTAAGACCATGATGAGTAAATAAATAAGTAAATAAATAAATAAATAAATCATTCCTCAATCAGATGATGCAAAAAAGCAAATAAGTACAGTACTGGTCTGACCTACTCTTATGTCCAGCTGATATTAAAAGGTAGTCTCATTACATGAAGCAACTCTAGGTACCTTCTTGAATTCTTTTGAATTCTTGAATTCAAAATTCAATTTTCTTGAATTGTTAGGAAACTACAGTCAACTCTGAGCAGAGGATTGGATGCAATTTAAGATGAGTAACTACACAGAGGAAAATTTATTCCAAAAGATCCCCAAGTTTCTTTGTAGTATTTTTTAGATGGATGAAGGAAAAAGTCTAGATTTAATTAGAATCTAACTCATCATCCATGGAATAGAAAGACCATCAAGTGGAAACTATATTAGCCAGCCTCTTATAGTAAGCATTCTTCAGAGACCAGCCACTTTTAAGAGTTAATGAATGAGAGCTGAAGTTTCCAAAGAAATAAATGGAAGACTTAAAAAAAAAGATTGTCAGTTCATAGTAACAACTGTAGTATATATCATACTATGACTAAAAATAAGCACTCAGCTTTAAATAAAGGCATCAAGATAATGTGTCCTTTAATGCTAATTGCTTTTTGATTAAAATACTGGAACACAAGTAAGTATCTCAGTTTCTTGTGAATATTAAGGCAATAAATAGATTCACAAGTGTACACACAATAGTACCCTTTTTTGAAGTTTTTTATCTTAAAACTACAACAGCAAAACATACAAATACAAATCAAGATAACAGTCAATTATATTATAATTTAAAGTATCTTGACTAAAACTGCATGAATTTTAACATGAATAAAGGTACAGTTCTGAAGGAAAACTCTTTTTTCATATAATAACAGCAACAACAGTAACACAGAGCTTATTCTCCTACATGAATGAAAAGCAGGACTTGGGGCACGTTAAAGATACTATATTATCTTAAAAGTTTTCATGGCTCCCAGTTTCTACATCTATTCCAGCAGCCTCCAATTTTTTGGGAACCAGGGGGCGGTTCTGTGGAGAGAGGTTTTTCCACAGACTGGAGGGAGCATGGTTTCACATGCTGCCTGCATCCCACGGATATGGTTTTACTTGTTTGCACAGCCCAGTTTCTGGCAGCCTGGTGCCAGTCCATGGATCAGGGGTTGGGGACCCCTGGTCTATTCTATTGTAGTAAAATCCACAGAAGCTTTTTTTTTTTTTTTTGGTAACACATTTCTTAATATTTAAGTGGCCAAGACTTTTGTTTTTTCCATCTCTATACTTGTATACTCTTCTACAAAATAAAATATTAAAAGGATTTAATTACTTACTTAATAAAAAAATGCATACATAGTTCCCCATCATTCCCAGCCACCTACTTCATGTGTAGTAAATTGTTCCTTGACTTCCTCAACATCATCAGATATGACTTCCTGCTCTAGGAAGTCATCTTCTGAAGAGAGCAGCCAAGCGAGAACTTCCTCCAGAGCTATCTGGTAGCTGTCCAAGTCCATATCTACTTCATTCAAGGTGCTGGATGCTTCCAATTTTAGAACTGCATGATCAACCTCAGATGTTGCACACTGCAAGTAGAAAAACCAAACTGAAGGCCTCTTTTCACAAAATTATTTTCCAATGCAGTTGTTCTTCCATATAGGAACAACTTACTGTAACAGTAATAGTATATAAATACAAAAGCAGTTTGATGATAAATTAAAGCATCATGCTATTGGTATCTTCTTGGGGGGGAAAGTATGTTTTAGTAAAAGGATTTAGATTTTATTTTAGATTTTATTTTAGA